TTAAACTTTAGTCTAGCATTCCTCCAACAACTTTTTTAATAACTTCTATCAATTACCAATTTAACCCATACCTTAGCCATTAACTATACCATTGAGAATTTTCCAAATACATACCTTTAAATAATTTCCAAAACATCATGACTATCAATCAATCCATTTGCAATTTCCATCCACCATTTGAAACAAACCTCAACAATAAAATTTCTCTCCCATTGCTTTCATTCTATAACTATTGGTCTATTCCTTACTTTTCTTTAAAACCTTTTAATCATACTTAACTACCTCAAGCATTTACACAAGGATCTTTCTCCAAAATCCTAAAATTATTTTATACCCATACAAATGTTGGAATCAAGTTTTAAATGTTTTACTTCAAATCTGAAAATTTTCCGGATTTCCAACACATACCAAAGGCTAATACTTAACAATACTTAATAATGCTTGATCACTTTAAAACACTTAAGTTTTTCTCCTTAAACTCCCCTTCTAAAATTATATTTCCTATTTAACATTCTAATTGTAAAAATATACAACCAACCTCTTGGTCAACACCCAAACAGTCACACTTACTTCCACAATCACCATTTCTTAATTAATCCTTTCCTATTACCTATAGTTTATTCACACACACATTTATACACCTTCAAACTCGTTTACAATCCTTTAATTATCTATTTGCTTTTGTTATAACTTACACAGCCCCTTGTAAATCTGGAAATTTCCATATCAAACAACAGTACTTAGTTAACTAATTTAGAATCTTTAAATATAGTTAACTGCTTCAAACATTTGCACATATAATTCCTTCAACTTTAATTTAACACCTAATAAATTTAACCTCCAAAACTACTCCAAACAACTCTAGAATCAGCATAAATATATATATATATATAGACGTACTTCCAATACTTAAATCCACTCCTCTCATTCTCATCAAAACCCAAACACTACCCCCACCAATTTAATCCTATCCTTTCAGATAAACGTTTTGAACAGCAAAATCAATAAGTAAAATTTCTAGCTTCAAAACTATTAGTAAAACATCCTCCAGGGATCCTCAAGCACACTTTTAATCATCTGAACATGGTTTAAACATCTAAACATAAGCATTCAGTATTCATAAACATAACCAATCAAAACCAAATCGATTTAAACACTAACACAACCATGACTTCACATTATGACAAATCTGGAAATTTTCCAGATTCAAAATGCATTTTTAGAACCAGCCTCAATAATCACAAAAACAAAATAAACACCATCCAAGCTTATATATATTTATGTGCATATATCCTCCTCTCAAAAACCAGTGAACCCAACGCCATTAATAGCAGAAATCATCATCTAAACCAGCGACTATCACCCCTGCTTTCGGCCAACACAAAACAGAGCAAAAGAATCCACATGCAAGCCATTAAACATACTTCATAATCATCAACCCATTCTCATCTCAAACCAGCGACCATAACCTCTGTTTTCTTGCAGCCAAAACAGGGAGTAAAACAACACATGCAAGCTGAAAATCATGTACCATTATCATCAATGAGCACTTCTCTTCCTCCCCTATCATGTTTTGAATTCATTCACTAGTTTCTCTCACTTAACCCAAACTCAAATCATCATCACCTTCATATTCAACCTCCCAAAGCAGAAAATAGCGATGGAAGAGTGCTTAGGAGACTCATCTTGATTGATTAATTGGTTTGCATGGAGGAGTGAAGCACGAACCGTTAGTCACCCCAGGTCCACTTTAAAAATTAACCGAATTAATACAATATAATGCACGATCCTGGTCATATTCATTTTGAAGAGGCAAAAATGAAATTAAATCATGGTAAATAAATACAAACAACCTCAACTACAAAAAAGATTTTGATTTGATGAATTGTTAACTAAATGTCATGAATTAAATTGAAATTAAAATACTTGTCTTTTATGTTTTTATATGAAAATAATTTTAAAGGCAAATGATGGTAAATGAATTAAAATAAATCACACAAGCAGACAATGATGATAATCAATCCTCTAACTTAACAGCGTAAGCAATCCTCACTTCAACAGATGCATAAGTTAAAATAATAAATTAAGAATTATAATTAAACTTTTAATCCAACAATCAAGCCACCTCGAAACCTCAAATTGTCACAAAATATTTTTTAAAATCCTAACTTACTAACTCCAGCCAGAATAGTAAAATGAAAATTAAGGATACTAAAAAACTAATGTTTAATTACAACTCTTAAATCCAAAACAACAGAATTAAAACTAGCAAGAGATATTATGATCCAAGATTCCAAAGCTACCTCAAAAAATCACAATATATTAACTTCAAAGTCAGTGCAAATATCACAACCACAACATTATAATTGAAATTAAAGTTATAAACAGCCCAATATCAAATGCTAAACAGTAATCTAGCCACAATAATCTCCAAATATAATCAGATTAAATAATACAAATTTTTCAATAATAAAAAAGACTATCTTAAGATCTAAGAATTGTTAAACAACTATTAGACAGGAAACTAAAGCAACTAAAACTCCCTGTGAAGATCCAAGCTCCTACCATTGCTGTTGAATTGGAGAATTACAAAGTGCTAGCCACGGTTTGTCATGAGAAATGTCATAATTAATACTCTGGTACAGGTTGCCATGGAGTACTGCCGAGAAAGTGACAGAACAGTGAGGAATCTGAAGGGAGAAGGGGCTGACGGTAGATTGAACGGAGACGATGGATTGGGGTGGAGATGGACCGATGGACGATGAATGATTTCTGTCTTCTTCGTTCAACTCTTCTGTCTTTGTTGCGCGACGCCCCTTTGATTCTGCGAAGAAGACGTTGATGGTGATAGATTTTAACGGGGATGGAAAAAATGGTGATGGTGGAGGATTTGAATGTTTGGATTCATGGAAGATGATGGAATTGGCCGAGAGCGAAGAGTATGGAGAATGAAGAATGATTAAAGGTCCCTCTCGCCGTCGCCCTCCCTGATCCTTCTCGCTGTCGAGCTCCTCTGGTCCTTCGTTCTGGTTCTGTCTCACTCTCCTTCTCTCGTCTCACTCTCTGCCACAAGGAAGAAGACACAGAGAAGAAGGTGAAGGTGATGCTATCGATGGAAGATGAAGACTCAGAGGAGATGGAGATTGGTGACTTCAGTCCTTCGTTCTTACGCCATCGCTGGTCCTTCACTCTGTTCGCGCTATCGTCACTGGCCGAATGAAGATGATAATCAATTTCAATTTAGGACAGGTGGCAAAACGCACCGCTTGACTGCCTGTGGTCTTTTTTATTTATTTTTTTCTTCTTTATTTTATTTTATTTTTAAATATTTTTTATTTTTATTTTTAATTCTTCGAAAAACCTGCAATCAAAAATTCAAAAATAAGGTGTATTAATTGTCCTAAAAAATCAATTAATCACAATTAAACCAAAATATAACAATTTTATCCTTATAAAATGATAATTTAAAATAAAACATATTAAATTAATTAATAATCAAATAATGCATTAAGTTGACAAAAACCTATAGAGAAGATATCAAAATATATAAAAATAATTAAGTTTGTCAAGAAGAAACCCATCCGATCATTTCCTCCGTCACCGACTTCTTCTTCTCAGTCTCTCTCTATGCCTCTCGATTTTTCTCTATCCTATGAGGTTTCCATCGAAATGAAAATGGATGGAGGAGCTAATGGCTTTAATCAAATTAGAAGGGTGAGAAATGACCATCATACCCTTCAACAAGTTTTTGTCCTCCCTTTCATCCTTTCACTATTTTTTCTGCAACTATAAAATAAATCCAGGAATTAATCCACAGTATTTTACATGGATTTTCCTCATCCAATAGCTTCCTTGACCCCTGAAATAATTTTCATAAGAAGTTCGGGTAAAAAATCTTCTCCTAACTATTTTTCTTGAATTTTCCAAGAAAATAATCCTTAATTCTAGAAATTAATGCTAAACTCATTTTAAGAATTTTATGCCCCAAGTACCTCTTTATCATCTCAAATAATTATCCTAAATTTTTCAATTTAAATATAAATCTCAAAATATATTTCTTAGAATTTTCTAAGAAAATAAACCATTTTGCAATGAGAAATCACTTTTAAGATTATTTAAGCCATTTTTGGAGAATGAAATTTTCCAAAATATTTCTAAGCCCTCAAAATCAATATTTCATAATTTTTCTCTGATTTTATTTAGGCATTAACTGATTTTAATGGATTTTCTTTTCTGCTTTTCCTGATTCAGAAAATTCAGAATGTTACAATTATTGTATTGACTTTGTTTTCATGGGGTATAAATAAGAATAAAGCTAAAAAGTTATTAAATTTTAAATGAGAGTTAATGATAAATTTTAAGATTTTTCTTATTTTGTGTGAAAAATATAAGAAATGACTTATAAATAGGACTAAAGGAGTATGTGTGTATGTATATATATTAGTGTTTTTATGTTGAACAAGTTTGAGATATTTAGAAGCTTTTTGGTGTGAAATGAAACGTTATTTTGAGGTTTACTCACAAGCCAAATGTGGCATGTACGTACCTATAAGTTAAGGTTGACGGATATAATACATCCAATTAACTGAAGTCTTAAGAATTGTGATACATGTTTTTGTGAAGACTTTTGATAGACATTTTTCACACTTGTTGCCGTAAAACATGCAGCAGTTTGATCCAACGCATTTGAGAAGAAAATTTATTTTTTTTGGGTGACAATTGAGAAGAAAATTTAGCTAAAGAAGAGTTTATTATAGCGGAGAATAATTAAATGCATTCGCATCCTCAAAAAAGGTTGTCGACATTAAGACGAGACACATAATAAGTAATTTGAACTTCAATGAAACGGGCTTAGATCTCTATAAAAAAAATGATAAGGGAAAGATAAATAAGAGCGCTAATCTTTTTGCCCTTTTCAGGCCTCTAAGAAAGAAAATTCAATCCCTAACTAATTCTTATATGAGAGATAGAGGTCGTACTAAAAAAATGTATCTTTAGGTCATATAATTGTAATTTATAAATAATACGACTTGTTATTAAATTTGATCAGAAACCAAGAGGTTGATTTGTTGTCGAAGTCGGTTTTCCTTAATTACATGGGCTTATGAAAAAGAGGGGTCATCTAGTTAATACATTGCAGCCTTCTCATCCCTCACGTGCATGGCAGCTTTAACTGTGCATCTCTGTGATTCAAAAACAGCTAACTATATCTTCGTTAGAACTTGAAGCATCTTCTGAACTTTGGTCTCCAGCCTCTTCCTTCTTCCCATTATTAATATAATATTATTTGACTTCTGGGTATCCCTTACACTACTTTTGAGTTTGCGAAATAAATCCAAACCATGCCACAAACTGTAGATTCCCAAAAGCAGTCACAGTCACTAGAACATGTTTTCCTCAAACAAAGACTTACAAATAATTGGCCCAAAGTCTTACCTCTCAGATGATATTACAAGCCTTCTGTTCTGATATTCCGGTTCCTTGGTATTCATCAATAGTAAGATATTGCAGATCCAACAATTTCTTCAATATCTTTGTGTTCTTGTGGCGGATTGAATTCACGTCTTTACATTCAAAATTGTTTGATGCCAGTTGCTCTGCAATGTGGCTTTGGTTATCTTGGAATTGAATTGTTTTCTTGTTCTCCTATAGTTGCTTTCAAGTCTTCAGTAGTTGCTTTTAATCTTGTAAGGAAATAGTGTTGTGAGCCTTTCACCAACCTTCTAAAAATCATCTTATGATTTCATCTTGAAATGACTTCAAAACAGCTTTTCGATCCTAATTTATGGAATACGAGATAAATATACGAAGGACGTTTTGTCTAGTTAGTTGATTTTATTTTATTATACGTGTCTTATGGAAAGCCTTGCCATTTAGGCATTTCTCGAATGTACAAAAAATTTGAGTTGAGGGAGAAACTATGATTGGAAACACAAATGCAATAGAAATGTCAACATATGGTGATCAAATTTCAAATCAGATGTGGTTGAATCATCACATTCTACCAATTAGGTGTTACTTGATAAAATTAATTAGAAGCCATTTTTGAGACTTTGTTCACAACAATATCCATTTAAATGTTATTTTTGTTTGTAGAAAAATAATTTCTATGTTATTTTTTGGTCATATATTCTATTTGATTTTTGATTAAATCAGTTTATTAATATAATAAGATAATATAAAATAACGCCAATATCAACTATATAAAACATGTGAATCAAACAATCCTTTTTTATTTTTTCGCTAATTTCTTTTTAAGAACAGTTATTTCATGCTGATTAAAAAAGAGCCATCATTTCAAACAATTTTTATACTTTTCTGTTCTCAAATATAATTTTTCAGAACAATAATCCAAACTTTTTAAAATTATTTTCTAATATTTATTTCGAAAAAAATTTATGAATCTATTCTTAAAAGACCAAAAATAGCATTAAACAGCTGGTCCAAAAAAATAGTGTTAAGCAAGGTCTAAAATTATATTTGATTATGATCCTTACCCACGATCAAATAGAATCAAGGGCAACAATTTGGGGCAGAGTGGGGTAACCTCTTGTTTTTCTTGTTTCTTTTCTTTTAAACTTCCAGAACTTATTGCATTAAAGCACCGTCATTCATCCGCCCAAGATCCGTCCTATCATGAAGATTTACAAGATTCGTTCGGCACCACAATTCAAACACACCAAGTGCTTTGGGAGAAATTTCCTGTCACATAATACCATTTGATTTTATTTTCTATTTATTTTTTAAAAATTTCCTATAGACTTCATTGCATCGAAGCATTGTTGTTCATTCACAGAAGACACGTCACACCATAAAGCTTCGCAAGACCCGCTCGGTCCCACTATTCTTTTGTTTTTCTTTCTTATTTCTTTTCTATTGAACCTCTAGATGTTATTGCATTAAAGCATCATTGTTCAGCCACAAAAGGCCCATCGCATCATGAAGCTTTGTAAGACCTGCTCGCCACCACTATTCAATGACTCCTAGTGGCTTGGGAGACATTCGTTAACAAAGAAGAGCCGTTGCAACCTTCGATTTCTTTTTATTTTCTTTCTCATTTTTTTTTTTAAACTTCCATACCTCATTGCATTAAACCACTATTGTTCACCCACAAAAAACCCGTTGCAATGCTTGACTTGTTTTGATTTTCTTCCTTGTTTCATTTTTTCTAAACTTGGAGACCCCATTGCATTAAAACACCATTGTTCAGCCATTAAAGACCCATCACATCATGAAGCTTCGTAAGACCCATTTGGCACTACAATTCGAAGACACCAAGTGCTTTGGAAGAAATTTGCTGTCACATAATACCTATTGTAAAGTTTGATTTCTTTTGATTTTGTTTTTGTTTATTTTCTTTTAAATTTCCAATGGACCTCTTTGGATACCGTTGTTGAACCATAATAGACTCTTCGCACCATGAAGCTCTGTAAGACTTGTTCAGCACCCGTATCCGATGATACCTACTGCTTTGTGAGACATTTGCTGCCACAAATGACCTGTTATGTTGCAACACTTGATTTCTTTTTATTCCTTTTTAGCTTCTTTTCTTTTAATCTTCTTAACCAAATTGTATCAAAACACCAATGTTTACCCATAAAAGACACTTTGCATCATGAAGCTTTGCAAGACTTGTTCCGCACTACCACTTGAAGACATCTAGTGCTTTGCAAAACATTTGCTGTCAGAGAAGACCCGATGCAACGTTTGATCTCTTTTGATTTTCTTTCTTGTTTCTTTTCGATTAAACTTTTCCACCTAATTGCGTTAAAGTATCATTGTTCACCCACAAAAGGCTCATCGCATCATGAAGGTTTGCAGGACCCATTTTGAAATTCAATGACACCTGCTGCTTTATCAAACATCCACTGTCACAGAAGACTTGTTGCAATGTTTCATCTCTTTTGATTTTCTTTCTCATTTCTTTTCTTTCAAACTTTCAGGCCTCATTGCATTAAAGCATTGTTATTCATCCACAAAAGAATTGTCACATCATGAAGCTTTGCGAAACCTGTTTGGCACCACTTTTTGAAGACACCATGCACTTTGTGAGACATTTGCTGTTAGAGGAGACCCGTTGAAATGTTTGATTTCTTCTGATTTCCTCTCAGTTATTTTCTTTTAAACTTCCAGATCTCATTGCAGTAAAGCACTGTGGTTCACCTATAAAAGACTCGTCGCATCACGAAGCT